TAGCAGTTTGTCACATCTCCCATTGATCCAATTTCGCATTTAAAATAGTGGACACCGCATATGCAACAAAGTCTTCACAAAACCATCCCTGTTTGTAGTTTAAGTGTAATCTGAGCATCATGTAAGCATAATCCTCTGAAGAAACCCTGAAACTCATTCCGCCTTACCAGAATATAGTAGAAATTGTGTTTGTGATTTAATGCAGTATTTATATCCAGGCTTAAGAGGCACCATTGGTGAAACCAGGCACAAGTGTTCTTAAGTTCATTAATTTCCTGCTTTCCTCTAAGTGGCCATATCAACACCGGTGCAGTTACTATGGCAACCTTCATGTAATGCCTCTCAGACCTCACAAACCAGCCTCAGTAAACCTTGCGGATGATGGAAAGTTCTTTCCTCTTATAAATTATAAGCTTCAAATAATTTTTCTTTCATAAATCGTTCTACTGAACTTGATCGCACGAGGGCTGTTTCATCCTTGCATATTCAAACAGCAGTAACACTGGGCAGTGGTGTAGAGCTCTGGCAGTGTAATGGCTGGTGTTTCCAAGTGCGGATTAGTATCGCTGATTAGTTTATAATCCCTGTGTTTTAAGCACTAAAAAGCAGTTGGATGATTCATGTGACCTTCTCAATAAACCCACCACAGCCCATGTATTCTGCACTAAATAAAAAACAGGGTTGAATGGATGCTAGCGCTGTCAACAGAATGGCAATTACTAACATTATTGGACACCTAATATATTAGTATGCTCTTGTGAAAAAGAGTGTGCACACATTTTTACTTGTAAAGTTTTGCATAACAGAGCATATTTTTTAAATAACCACAGTAACCACAACATCAGATGAATAACAACATGTCATATCATACTGTCTTTTTTTATTTAATAAAACTTAAGACAAAATCCAGAAACTGTGTGAAAAATTACAGTACATGCTTACTGTTCCATTGAATTTAAGAGGGTAAGTAGCAGACTGATCATCAGTAAGTGTGAGCACGTCTATAAAAGCAGATTTTTTGGCAGTTTGCTGGTCTGGAACATTTAGATGTGTGTTAACATGGAAGAAAGATACCAATGCCAATGAGGAGGAACACGAGCAATGAACCTAGAGAAAGAGTTGATGCTGCCCATCAATCGGAGGAGGTTTATGAAACATTTTCTAGGCAATTTATGTCTGTTATTCTGTCTGTTATTCTATTGCGCAAAAGTGGAAAGTTGCCAATCATCGCAGGAGTGGACATCCCAGCTAACTGCAAGGTCAGATCATACAATGAGAGAGAGATTGCAACAAACACAAGAGCTGCATCTCAGACAATAATGCACAGTGCCAAGTTTGGCGATAACCAAACACAGCATATCAGCAGAAACACCTCATACCAGCTGTAAAGCACAGTGGTGGAAAAGTGCTAATTTCGGCTGGTTTACAGCCACAGCACCTGGATCAGTGTGTCCACTATGAACTCCTCTATGTAGCAAAGTATTCTAGAGTCAAAATGAGGCCATCTGTTTGACAGGTACAGCTTGGCTGAAGCTGCGTCATACAATAGGAGAATAATCCTGAGCATGGCGGCAAACCAACAAAAGAATGCCTAAATGAAAAAGAATCAATGTGCCACAATGGCCCAGTCTAAGCCCAGACCTCAACATGATTGAAATGCTGTGGCAGCACATTAAGAGCGTAGTGCATAATTTAGTGGCCACAAATCTCAATGAACTGAAGCAATTTTGTAAAAAAGAGTAAACCAAAATTTCCCCAAATTAATACTTCGAGTTGCTGCTGAAAAGGGTTCTATAACCTCCTGAACCCCAGTGCTTCTCCATTTTCTCTCAGTTTTTTTAAAATAAATAATCGCAGTGCTTATCTGAGGTGGTGTTTTAATAATCTTAAACCTGGGAAATACAAGATAGTTGGGTTTTTTTCATTTTTTTTTGTCCTGATACACAAAACCTTCACGACTGTATATCCATCTGTACATATAGGACTAGGGTAGTGGTTGCATTTGTTTGAGCACAAATGCTGTAACAACAGGTGTAAACCATCTAACGGACATATTTGTTTGTAAACAATAAATACATTTAGGTATATAATTGCCGTTTTATGCCTCTGGAGCCGTGCCAGTATTTTCCCTTCAGCTAGTAGGCACGCACCAGCTGATGGAATCTCTGTATTACAGTGTGAAGTCCATTATCATGCATTAATGGAAACCTACTGTCAGATCATATCTATGTCACCTCAGGCCACCCAGTGATCCATGCCATGTGTCATCACCCTGACTTATCAGCTTGGCAAAGAGAAGTGGCAGTGTTTTCATTTTCTTAGATCTGCAACCGAGCACAAAAAAGTATTTTTGCGTGTTTGTGCCGTTTTTTTTTTAAGGCATCCATCTTTTATTGTTGTAGAAGAAAGCAATGCAAACTATACTCTCATCAACAAATGGATGAAAATGTCAATTCAGAGGACTGGTCACTTATTTATAAATGACAGGAGACGCAGAAATAAAGTAAATATGGTGCACGGTCAATTTTATTGATGTACAGACCAATAAATAACCTTTTTTCATGAATAGCATTCAAGAAAAGAGTTTGTCACCACAGTATATAAGGAGTGCAAGGGTCATTAGCTGCTTTGTACCATTACTGTTATGCAGATCTGTCCTTCACTTTTCAGTCCATCTACAAACAAATATCATCAGCCAGCAACAAACAAGTGAAGGGAAACAGTCCACAGCGGAAGTATACAGAAAGATATTATTTTATAACAAACATAACTTTTTCCCATTACAATAAATATTTTATTTGTCTAAATCTACAAAAACATAGCTCAAATTCTAAAACTATACCTTACATACCTGGGGGTATTAACCCTGGAATTTAAAATAATTCACGTGAATACGGGCGTGTGATAACATTTAGCAACATAGTGCATGTTCACAGTTTGTGGGCTTACCTATACACTTGCTCAAAATAAGCCATTATACCTTTTTCATGTGAGATATATGATATTTTGCTAAATAAACTGCACAAGAATGAAAAGCAAAGTTAAAGACATCAACAAAAAGGTGACATCATTTCCGAATATTTATAATTCACTTAGAGAAAAAGGAAACATTGTTAAGTACCTTTGGATGTCTGGCCACTGGTAGAAAAGCTCAAAGGCTGCGTTCAGCTGTGATAAACCGCCCAAAAGGGGAAAACAGAGAAGCGTAGCACTTTATCCGACCAAATTGTTGACATCTAAGGCCTCAGGATTTAGTAAAAATGCAGAACCCAATTCCTGATTCCAGATTTTCATCTGATTTATTCATACCTATGCCTGAGACATTTACTGCTGCTTAGTTTGGTGCTCTGCTCGTATAGTTCGAAACAGTGGTTCTCAAAGTAAAGCCAGGGGATCCACAAGGGCGAAATTATGAGCTAAAGACAGATAGATTGTTTTCTATCATTTAAAAGGGATTGGAATCATTTGCAGCACTAAATTGGGTGCACCCCATGTTATATTTGGGCCAATAGAAACTCTGGAATGATTATGACAGATGATATCAATCTTATGTGAAACCACTTACAGTGCTGTGAGAAAGTCCCCTTTCTGATTTCTTACTCCTTATTTATTTCTTTATTTGCATATTTGTCACACTTGAATATTTCAGATCATCAAATAAAATGTTAGTGTTAGAAAAAAATAACCTGAGAAAACACAAAATTTTATTTTTAAATGATTATTTCATTTGTTAAGGGAAAAAAAGCTCACCAAACGTACTTATCCCTGTGTGAAAAAGTAATTGTCCCCCATGTTAAATCATGAATTAACTGTGATTAACCACATATTTTTGGAAAACAACACAGAGAGCCTCATTCTGACACTGTTGTGTCTCCTTTTCCAATTTAATGGCAAATCCAAGAGGGGATTCAAAGGATAAAACATGGACTAATATAAGAGATGTAATGACTGAAGTTCAGTTTAGTTGGCTACACTCAGGCCTAATTACTGTGAGACCTGCAGAATCAATAAATCCCATTAACTAGTCAACTTCGCCTGACCAGGTGAAGTTGACTACTTGACACTCATGCCACAATATAAAGAAACGGATGAGTAAATAACAAAAAACCAAGTTATTTACTCATTGAAGGGTTTTTTGTTGTGTTACATATTGACATAAAACTAACACAGCATTTCATAAAAACAACATTATCCAACGGTCAAGCATGGTGGTGGTAGTGTCATGGTCTGAGGCTCCTTTGCTGTTTTAGGATCTGGATGACTCATTGTAATTAATGGAACCATGAATTCTGTACCAGAATATCCTAAAGGAGAATGCCCAGCCATCATTTTCAGCAGGTTATGCAGCAGAACAATGATTTGAAACACACCAGCATGTCTAAAATCTGAATGGCTCAAATAATTATCTCAAACTCTTGACTGTAGTTCTTACTGCCAAGGCTGGAACAACCAGTCATCAGGTTTTGGCTATCATCGCAAAGTTTTGAGTAACTATTTTTCCTTAATAAATGAAATCAGCATTTGAAAAATACATTGTGTATTTATTCATATTGTCTTTGTCTAATAATATTGATCTGAAACATGTAAGTGTGACAACTGTGTAAAAAAAGGACGGGGTGCTGTTTAGCTTGGCTTGTTAGCCATCTAAGTAGCAGACAAGCATTAAGAAACTGAGTTATTCAACATCATCCAGCGATTCTACCACATCAGCTAATGTGGTGTTACGATTGTTAAGGGCTTCTTGAAACATATTTTTTAGAGGTCCCTGGCCCCAAAAGTTATGTAATGCTATGTGAGAGCTATGTTTTGTATAAATAGGGTGGAAGTTCTATGACAGAAGTCCATTATAAAACAGTCCTATGCTACCTCGGTAAGAAAATTTGCAAAACGTCTTGAGGGCTTGACAGAGCTACCTTAGAGTTACCTTAGAGTTACGGATTCATGGAATGTTCCTCTGTTTCTTGGTTGTAGACCTCAAGGCTGAATCAATTCAAAATCATTTTGGTCCATCTTCTCCAGCATGTTAGTGAGTCTTGAGCTAAGACCTTTTCTCTATAATCTTCAGAAAATATTTTGCAGCAGTACAAGAACAAATAAAGCATCTGTGTCTGAACAACTGTTCACATTATCAAATCATGAACATTACTGTACGATTCATAAATATTGTACGTTATCCCTGAAAGAACACCACCATTACCACAATGGTGCCTCTCAATGCACAGTTTACCCTCTCATCTCCCTGTGCTTTCTAAGCATTTCTCAATCTGAGAAATGTAAAATATATGTTCTCAGCCGACGGCAAAGTCTTTACTTTTTATGGATGTCCTCATGCCGGATGATCTTGTAGGTAACCCAGTAGAAGACATTGAAGATGAGGAAAGCCAGAGGAAAAGCGGCCCGTGAGATCGTGTCGATCCTCTTGGCTCTGTCCACAAACTTTTTCCTCATGGTGTCTATGTCCTTTGAGGCTGATTGTTGAGGGTTGGGAGCTGGAACAGCATTTTTAACAGCTGAGCCATCCTTTGTTGGCAGACATTGGCTCATGTTGTAGCCAGCAAAATTAAAGCGGCCTTCACGCAGATCGTCATCCTGAAAAGTGACATGCACATGTGGATGAGTTTGCTAGAGCTTTTTAAAAGCCTGCAGCTCAGATGTTAGGCTTTACTTTGTAATGACTGAAGGTTTTTCAACAAACCCACATGAACATGAACATTAATCATGAGATATTGCACTTTCAAATTAATTTAAAATAAACTCCCAAGATAACCTGATGCACAGTGGCGAAAAAACATTTACAGAGATTGCTTCGGGAGATGAATCTTAATCCATCCATCCATTTATTTCCTTCTGCTTATTCAATACAGGGTCACAGGGGGGTGAATCTTAATTCAGACAAACAGCAATAAAGGTGCATGTGTTCAGCGCCCCTGACAAGTTTCTATGGCTATGATAGCAAATAGAGTTAGAGCTAATAGGAAGTCAGCAGTTTTGCAGGTACTGGGATAACAAAACAAGACCATTATTATTATGTTGTATTCTTTTATTCTGGAGGAACTATAGCAGTTCCTCCTGGGTTGCACATGAGACTTCCTTTTTCTCCATTTAAAAGATTGTCATTCAAATCAACAGCTGAAAGATGGTAATTGCCACATACTTGTAGTTAGAATATGTGCTTTTTGTGATGTAAAACTAAACTGACTCACACTGACAATTCATCCAGCTCTTTGGACAAAATTTGGTAGAAATTCATCCATCACATCTGAAATCACAAAGGCCAGTATCACGGTGGCCACAGTCAACAGTATGATGACCTACATAGACTCTGAAATATCATTTCTCCTTTCCTTTTGAAGTTTTTTCCCTTTTTGTCATACAGTCCAAATAAAACCAGTGTTTTATTGACTGACTTTATATGACCTCATGCTTCCTGCCTGCCGATCACCATGAGTGTTAAATCCCTGGAGTTTGGCTGATTTTATTCTGGGACTATTTTTCCGACTGAGCCTACTGCCTGCCCCCTTTCTCATGGACAGTCTGCCTGTGTATGACCCCTGCTCTGCCCATTAAAACAAGATTTATAGACTTTTATCCAGAGCTCTGTCCGATTCCTGCATTGGAGTCTGCCCTTGGTTCGAGCACATTATAGTTAGGCTGCATCTTTCTGGACTCATGAGCTTTATACCAAATTCTAAAGTAATTCACTTGGTAAATTTTGAAATATGAGTGAAAATTTTGACTTTTGGCATCTTAAACAAAAAAAGGGCGTGAGACTTTACATACCTGATCTACTGTGATTCATGCTCTGAGCCATACAAATGTTTTACAAAATTTAAAGCAATCCATCCAATAGTTAATGAGAAATTTTGTTTCAGACCAAAGAGGTATTATTGATGCTCATCCTCAGAGACACACTACTTCTTCTTCATCTTCTTGTTCTTGTTCTGGTTTCTTCCTTTAGGGGTTGCCACAGCAGATCATCCGCCTTCATCTCACCATATCACTGGCACCTCTCACACCACTACATCCATCAGTCTTCCCTGTAGTCATCATTTTTTCCTCCTGCCTGACAGCCCCATATTCAACACCTTTTGCCCAATATATCCACTATCCCTCCTCTGCCCACGTCCAAACCATCTTAGCTATGATAATCAGCATGTTTGATTTGGCAAAGGTTTTACATCAGATGCCTTTCCTAACACAACCCTTCCTATTTATCCCATCTTGGGAACGGCACTAGGAGTTCAATGGCTTGTGGGCCCCACCTGTCACTGGGTTCCCAGAGACAAGCTGCTAATGTGGCTAAAAAGTTTGAAGAGCAACCATGTGAAGACTTCAAAAGCCTACCTTGTGATTCCTTCTTTGTCTTCGCCTCAGGCGAAGGAACTCTTTCTGTTGCCTGGAGACAAAATTAACCCCAGCATATTCGAGCAATGCAGCAAATACAAAGAGCAGACACACAGCCATCCAGATATCAATGGCTTTCACATAGGAGACCTGGGAGAGAAAACAGATGTTTTTTGTTAGATTCTTCAAGCTGACAGCATTGGCTAACAGTTAAAATAAAGTGTGAATGTAGCCTTTAGCTGGGAACGCTATTTAATTTTTGTATTTTTCTTTTATTAATATTAAACTTGAGTCCTATGTGTTGTTGTCTATCAGTTGTTCCACAGCCACTTTCTGTGTTTTTCCTTTTATTTTGCTCCTTCAGTTAATTGTGACCTCTAAATAGCTGTAATTACAGATAATGTTTGCTAACAAGTGTGTCAGAGCTGCCAGCAGTGTCAGTGATTGCGTGGCTTTAACAGTAGCAAATAATTAATGTCTCAACCGCTAAAAGAAAGAGAACTGTGGCATTACTTTGTACCTGTAGTTCCCTGACTTTGATCTGGTTCTTTTGAGAAAGTGAAGATGAGGCTGAAACCTTTTTCTGCTCATCAGTGTGACCCCATCCTTTCATGACAGCTGATTAGCATGTGGAGAAACATCTCTGGTTCTAGAGGGCACTTAAGGCATATTGAATTGTTGTCCGTGCACTGAGGCTGTCAAAGGCTTGCCTTTAAATATTCATCAGCATACGTGTCTTTCATATGAGAATCTCTGACAGGGCTGAGGCCTTTTAGTGCTCATGTGCAGACTGATGTGTGACTGATCATCATCTGACTCGTGTTGTTTCTGCAGTACCTTTAACACTTGATACAATTTTTTTTGTTACGCCTTGAAATGACCACAGTTTATGACAAAAATGTTACATATTGTGAACTGTATCAGGCCCAGCTGTGCTTCTACAAAAACACAAAAATAGAGTATCTTATTCTCTGATGTATTACAGTGGCTTTCACAACAGCTCTGAGCTGTAGTTTAAACAGTCCACTGTGGAGAACGCTTTGATTTGCTTTGTTTGTTCTCTCAATTGGTTCAGTGTTTATTTTTGAGTTATAAATCCATCCTCTGTGTGAAATGTTGATGCCTGAGTCTCACACTAAAGGAGCAGCACCCATTTTCAGCTCATTGCACTGACTGCCTAAAGAAGAAATAGTAAAATCTGTTTGATCCACTGGTTGCTTTTGTTTCAAGGTACAGCTGGGATTCTAGGTGCCTACAGCTACATTAAAACTGCAGGGACCTACTATCTTTTTAATAAACCATGAATGCTTTCTAGCAGTGTCAGACAGAATTTATTCAAATGCCAATTACAGTTATGGTTATAAAATCTATTTTTTCCTTGATTGCATTAATTCAAATGATAAATATTTATGACAACCACTCAAACAATATAATTACATAATGGATGTAAACGTACAAAAAATGTAAAAACTCAGAAGTGGATTTATGTACCAGCGATCAGTCTTAAATAACAACATTTGATATTTAATATTTAAACTGCTATTTGACTTCATACTGACTGCATTGTCCATCCTCCGCTCTCCTAGCTGAGCGGCTAAAACCTGTCCAGGCTGTCATAGAGTCAGAGGGAGGGCCTCGAGTCTATCACAGGGCTCACCCAGAGAGACATACATCCAATTAACTTAACAAGCATGTCTTTGGATTGTGGGAAAAAGTCGGAGCACCTGGAGACAATCTTGCCAGCAGACATATATTTAACTTGCATATCCATAACAAACTTTCACTTTTAAAAGAAATATTAATCTCTTAGGTTACTTCCTGTGTGCTCTCCGTTCTTGCTTTAGAAAATTTACCCTGTGATATGACATGAAACACTTTGGCTAATCACAAGTCTTTTCAGACCAGATCAGGTGAGTTGTACAAATTACTATAAACAGCAAAGACATCTGTGGGAACATGGTTCAACGTGAGACGCTTATGAGAAATATCTAACAAAACCTAGGACTCAAGCTTCATATGTTTTTGCCACATACAAGGCTTGTGCTTATCTGCTGGAGGAAAACAAACAAAGGTTTTACCTTTGGAAGAGAAGCCCTGGACCCAGAGCTTTGGGTGGTCATGGTAAGCACAGTGGTGATTCCCAGCGCCACTCTGGCTGGAGCAGCATCCATATTAATCCAAAAAGACACCCATGAGAGGATGACAATGAGGAGAGAAGGAATGTACATCTGGATCAGGTAGTAGCCCATTTGGCGCTCCAGGTGGAATTTAACTTCAATACAGGTAAACTTCCCTGTTCATCAACAAGAAAACATATTTAAAAATGCAATTCAGCCATCAACCTGGGATAAAATGTCAGCTGTTTGAAACATAGACATAAATGCTGACCGGTGTTGTAGTGTTTGGTACAGTAGCCCAACTCCTTCTCATCCCTCATGATAAACTGAGGCAGGGTGAGTCCCTCCGACACCTGTACTGCACCGTTCTCCAGCCACTCAAACACCAAGTCATTCATGGTGTATCCAACTAGAGCCAGAGAAGAACGGGTGAATTTAGTAAGTAGGTTCTCATTTTAGAAAGTGTAGCAAAAATCTGGAAAAGATCAGCACTTACAACTTTCCAGTTGCATCGTACAAGTTTGGACGTCCATTGGAAAGTTCTTCAGATCCATCGGGCACGATAGAATGAGAGTCAACCTGTAACATGACACAAGGTCACAATGTAAAATGTAACAAACAACAGTGTTATTTGATGTCAAAAGAAGGCTTATTAACACTCAAACTAGCAGCTCGACATGCGTATTGAAAAAAATCTCGAAAATTTAGATTACAGTTGGTACTTTTTTTTAGTTGTATCAGGTATTGGCTGCTCTTTCTCCTGTGTCATAACCTCCAACATATCATGTAGGATACCCTTCAGCAGGTTCCTATTACACTTTCATTACTGCAACTTATTGTTTCTGTGATGCATTGTGGTCCACAGTCTGCTCACTCTGTCATTTCTCTCATGAATGGAGACTGCAGCTAACCACCTTTCATTTTTCTTCTTGGCCCGCGATACCTTAACACCTGAGCACCACTCAGAGTTGAGCCGCTTTCTAAATGGACTCAGAATTGATCTGCTTTATATCGCATCGCTGCAGAGAAAATTGGATGTTGCATGTGGCTTTTGTATTGTAATAAAATGCAACACATTTTACAAGTTTTTTTTTCCCTTTTTGGCCTGTACTTGTGGTGGTATGGATCCTAAGTTTTCAAACATCTTTTCATATTTAATAGAAGACCAGCATGGAGAAAAATACCCCCTTCCTTCTCAGCTCTAAGTTTGGGCTTTACTTTAGATTTTCACCAGCGCCCCTGAGATTTACTTGTCCTCTTGCAGTCGTATTGCACATGGGAATGTGCTGCGGTTCAGAAAATTATATAGTTTCAAAGAAATGATTACAGTGAGATAAAAATCTGTTTCAAATTGCATGCTGCAGATTGACAGTCTTTGATGTTTAAGAGAAAGTGTAAGAAAGGCAGTAAGTGAACATGTCCTGCGGTAATCTGAGCATTCAGCAGAGATTTCTGCTTCAGCTACACTAATATCAAACTGTGTAAAAGGCAAGTTATTATTGCCGCTTCCTAATCTACCAGTTATTTTCCTCATTTTGTCCCTTTAGAGAACATTGGCGGTGAAAAAATGTCCAGAAACTTTTTTGTCCCAATATCAAAAAAATAATAATTATTAAAACATTTTCAAATAATGATGCTCTAGTGCAGTTCTTCAGCCTTTTAAAATTGTCTTTAAAAACCTGTGAAGTACTACACCTGATGCTGTAGAGGACAGTCCCATCCTTGAAGATCCTCAGCAGCTTGTTGTCTGTGGTGACATCATGGAAGTTGGCTCCTTTCTCGTTGGCGAAGAAGAGGTCAGGCTTCCATATGGAGTCCAGCATAGATGGGTCCAGGTCAAGGGAGGAATCTGGGTATTTACTGTACGCCAGCCGAGGGTCATTCCACTTCTGCCGCAGGAAGATGTTCACTCTGTAATCCTGCGGAGATGACAGGCGGCTTTGCATATTTTGCAGCGCAGCGATTCGGGTTATGAGAATGCATGCTGATGGAAAAATGTCAATCACTGGTATCAGTTTTTAATATTACATAACCTTCTTTTTGACAAGGTAAATACAGGAAATTTTGTATTTATTTTCTAATACACAAATCATAAATGAAATGCATCTTTAGACCAGACAGTAATGAATGTTTTTGGTGCTTCCAGTGTGTTTTGATGATCATTTTTTAAAACTTTTATTGCAATGCAGAAGGATCGAAAGCAATCCTGTAACATCAGTAATAATCCATGAAAAGTAATAAAAGGAAAATGAGTGACAAATGTGCAAAATTTATATCATTCAGCAATACCATCAAAATTAATCTTAATTATCATACATTTGTTCTCATGGCAACTTTCATGACTACGTATTGTTGCAAGCTGCATTCACAAGCCACTGACCTCACCATAACCTTTCTTATTCAAAATTATGCAAGAGAAGCTAAATGAGGTGTTTATCAGATGCAGAGCCTGAAGAGGAGGCATCTGACAGCACCGTTAGCAGTAGACTGAGTGTCACACAGCTCAATGTAATTGATATGTCACGATGATGAGAAGCCCTTATGTTGCTTGACATTTTATCAGCATATTGGCGGTTCCAAATATCTGCATGCCCGTCTTAATACTGTGTAATTTCCTGGCAACCATACATGTTCCACCTCCTGCGCAAATTATCATTTTCCATTTATGATCTAAGTAGTTATTATCACTCATTACGATTTGATCCTGATTAGTTTCAGTGCAACCCTGCAGGTTTTATATTTTTACCCTTCAGGGGCTGGATGCCTTCACACCTCATGCATTGCACATCAGTTTGTTTGAAAGCCCCAGCCCCCCACTGTTAATTATTGGCTCTGCTTAAGTGACTTGTCAGGATTTGTTGTGTGAAATAGTAAAACCAGACTCATGGGAGCAGAAACCAATATTTGACTGGATAGCCCGCCAATAAACTTTTTGATGGCAAAGAACTAAATCTTATTTAATGAATAGGAAGACATGGCATGGAAGGATGTTTTAAAAAAGGTCAGCAAGGCTAAGTAAAAATAGGATGATTCAGTCGTATCTCCATAGGAGAGGTCAGGGCTTTAAAACATGTCCAAACACAACGCTCAACTCACCATTGTAGTTTCTGCTATAGAACCAAAGCTGTTGATAAATATGTTGCAGGTAACATTAACTGGTGGACCTGCAAGTTGAGGAATAGATAACATATTGACACATTGTACAGGACAAAAATCAACCAAATACCAGAGGAACTCACCATAGTTGTCTCTGTGACAGAGCCGAAACTGTTGATAAAAATATTGCATGTAACGTTTACAGGGGGACCTGTGAAATGGAATGACAATGACATGACAGGAAAAAGCCTTAAACCATACGTATTATAAAGGATGACTGGGTTTCAGGTGGGGAAGATATTTTGACAGGAAAACGGAAAATATGCATTCACAGAACAAACGGTGTTTTGAACTTTTGTTTTTGAGGGAGCTTTGGGGCAGGAAAAATCTATTAATTAGTAAAGGCATCACTGTGTCAGCTTAATGTTATAATGATGCAGTGATGTCTTGTAGGGTAATGTAGGCAATCTTTCAAGGTTGTCGTGCTGTAAACACATTTTTCTTGTGTCTACACAACACAAGAGGAGACATGCACATGCAGATAGGAGCATGCACACAAACACAAAAGTACCTTTGGCTGAATAATCAATTAGAAATCCCCACAAAATGTAATGTTAAGTACTCTATTAACTAAGAGTTGTTTCAGTATAAACAAAATCGCAAAATAACTGGTTTTGGCTTCAGAAATGTGATTATTTTATGTGACGAATTTTGATTTGGATGATGAAGCTGGGATTGTCACTGACATTCCCTTTCTTTTTACTAAACAATTAATTTCTAATCAACTGGGAAAGTCATCTAGAGTATTTTTTTTAAAGTGAAAACACTCTCTGGTTGCAGTTCTACAACAATCTTTTCTTCTTTGTATCAAATCTGAGCAGTTTCTCTCCAACACTGTGAGTAAGAAGTGCCCGGCATGCTTTGATGAATAGTGTCATCTTTTTCTGTATAGAAGAGGCTGAGCTGAAATCTCTTTGCGAGGCTTGGCAGGTTATGTGCCATTTAAAGTCAAAGCAAATCTTTTTTCGCTCTCTCTCTCTCTTTTTCTCTCTGATAAGTGGAGCTGTAAGCCCTTCCTAGTGCCCTTCCCCTGTGTTTTCTTCATCAATATTGCATGGAGCTTGGTATTAATATTTGCCTCAGTTTGTCGTTAGCTTGCTACATTTAACAGTGGAAGCAGAAAAATATGGCAGTACCTGCTGCTGACAACAAAACTCACGCAAAGGAAATCTAGGGCAACCTTCAGAAAATGAGTTCAACACTCTTCAAAGTGTGACTAGCAGGTTCAGAAGCAAAATCATCTATTTACGATGAAGTGAGCTCATGCAAATGTTGGGGGGGAGGGTTCTTGCCAGAAAATGTATGCGTGTGCATTCAGAACTCTGTGTGTGTGTGTGTGTGTGTGTGTGTGTGTGTGTGTGTGTGTGTGTGTGTGTGTGTGTGTGTGTGTGTGATCAGAATAAAGAATAACCGGAAACATAAAATCAGGCTTTTTTTCTTTTTGAAGGCTAGAAGTGATGCATCATCCCTCGGCAAAAAAAAGAAAAAAAAAGCCAGCTGGTATTAAGCAGGCTATCTTCCTCTTATCTTGAGTCCATCTCAGCAATAAACATTTTTTTCCCTTTGCCTCAAATGGGAAGGAAAGATCTGGGCCATGTGTCTCTGAGTCTGATTAGCTCCTGTGGTGTACTGTCTGACTGCTTCAGCTATCCAACAAGTCCCTGTCCACCTGACCCAGCCTGGAGTGGGCCTGAACGCCGCTGGGCTAGCATCTTCTCACTCAGCTCTGTTCCAGTGCTGTGATGCTGTGTCTGTCCTCAGCATCACAGCAGCAACAACAACAGAGGAAGTCAGTAGCCTGCAGCCTTGCCACGGGGGCACCATCCATCATTTGGCCTGTCATGGTGGCATCCTTGTCTACTGCAAGAACCAATTTGTTTCTTTGTGACGGAGATATTTACAAGCATCCCTTTTAAATGATGTTATCCTGATGGGGATTCTGCTTTACACATTTTCAGGAAACGAAAACATGCACGCAATGATATAGTGAGGAATTAATTTGTGGTTTCATTCAAGTCGGAACAATCATGTTACTGATGACTGAAGTGATTGTGTGTTCTGAGTCATTTTAGTGAATCATATAAGTAAAGATGCCCAACTTGCTGTGTTTCTAGAAATTTGTGGGGCGTGTGGAGATTATGTTAAAACATAAAGATCGTGACAAACAAACCTTTAAAATTCGGTCTTATTCGCGCATCATACCCAGACGTGCGACCCATGAGTGAGTCCAGAAAGTCTGATGGAGACAGGTTGGAGGATGATCTGGAATCGTGCTCCTTGGCGTCCACAACTCTGGAACGCACACATGGTGAGAAAAATCACTGGATCACACAAGTCAGAGCTCAGAATCGGGAGTTAAACCTTATCTTTCCCCTAGCAGCTGCCTCGCAGTGGTGGGCACGCAGAGCGAAACCAGAAAAAATGCGTTAATGCGCACAAACGTATCGGATGGGATTTCGACGTCGTGGGCTTCTCCTCTAAGAAAGGATTATTCTGTTGATAAAGATTCACGCACAGATACCACACCACGCTGTAGCCATGTTTTAACGCAATGTTGAGTTGCCAGAGGGGAAGGGAAAATACCATCACACGCGTAAACGTCTCTGTCACCATTTAAGTACAAACCAAATTTCCCAATACGAATATTATTTGTATTAATAATATTTTAGTTAGAGAATAATCTCGACAAAACAATCGATGATTAAAATCTTAATCAAGAAAGAGTTTTGAAAATAAAAGCACATCATATTCAATTACCAACTTTGTTCAGAAATTTCTTCACTGTCGCTGCTTTCATGTCGTTTCCCTAACATCGAAAACTTCTAACATCTAAATTTCCAAACTTTACTTGGAAGAGACAAAGTGTTTCACGGATATTGAATCAAACGTGTTTGATAAATAGACTCGCCTACCTGAAGTTGTTTGTCTCCATCACATATATGAATAAAGCTGCTAAAACCTTAATAAGGGAGCGATTCATTCCTGGTGGTTTCCCCATGTGCTCACTTTTCTATTTCTTCCATATGTTTACATTAGTCAAACACATAATCCAGATAGGGACCCCGCTTTTTTCCGGACTAAGTCGTGGGCGTTTGGGTCTTCTTTTGTCACAGGAATATACAGGAGACATTCCTCAACGCGGTTTCATGAAACTCCCGAAAACAGATTTGTCGAAGCGTAGGTGTGAAGAGACATCAGTCCAGTGGCCAGACGTAGAGAAGCTGAAACTCCAAGACGCATCAGCTGGAAGCTCTGCTTCGGTGGCGCTGGCTGAGATGTAAGAGCGGGCTTTGAGAAGAACAGCCCGTTGGCTTGCGTTGTTACTCATGAAGTGAGATCTTTCTCAGGTGGGGGGAACGTCAAGGAATGAGAGAGGAACGCCTTTTTCTCATTTCAGCACTTGGACAGCTCCCGGTTGAGTTACGCGCAAGCGCAAGGCTTAAAAGTGGCGGACGTGAGTTGGTTTTCAATAAGTCAAATAAACGAGGAAGGTAATCACTTGAAAGACACTCAGACATTGTCTCCATTGTCTTTAAATGACGACGCTTTTAAATGATAGCATTTACCTCACGAGATCGGCTTAATGGGGGAACTCTGGGAGCGCGCAGCTGCGCGTAAGAATCAACTGGTTTTAGAACATTTCTTGTGTTTTCTAGAGATGATGCACGGCGTTTAAGCTGAACGGTGGTGTGGGCTTCTAGTTAAATCGACATCTACTTAGGATCTGATTTATTACAAAGCAGATCTATTCTTCAGGGCTGCCATTATCATATTACATATTGTGGGTGTATAACATAAAACTGACTGTGTGACTCTCACTCCGTTTCTGTCTATATATTTGCAGTGTTGTTGTTTTTTTTTTGTTCCCACCCAAATGTGTTTAGAGCAACCTACGTCCTCACAGATATCAAGAGTGTAAACAAAGGAGGACGCACCAGCGAGATGCTGCTGGGAGAGTATTTGGTACCCCGGTTGCCCTGGAAACAGATTTCCAAGGCACATCATTGGAAATGCTGAAAGGTTGGCCTCCCAGAGCGAGACCGAAGAGAAGCTGACTGACAAACACAGACGGAGACAGCAGGAAATAAAGGCTACTACAGGGTGGCTGTAGCCTGAGGGTGGAGGAACTGAGGTTTAGAAGGCCGCCACACAGATTTGGGTGATAACTGTTCAATATATATGTATATAAGCTGCTGGTGGTGATGCAGAGAGTGGATAGGGACCTGGCAGTTTGAGGATGTGAGTGGGCTGTGAGGCTTTATGGACCACAGGCATGAATGACTCATTCCACATGAACGCACAGGCATGTGGTGAGGAGGAAGCAGCTAAACTTAGTGAGAAAAGAAAATATTTCATTCACTTCAAGCCAAGTGCAGGACTCCTGTTGTAGGATTACTGCCAGCACATCACACGCTTATTGCACTTTAGCCCGACACTTGGCTACTAACCAGTTAACAGATCATCTTAGCCCTTCTCAGGTCAAGCCGTCACTCCCCTCACCCCACCCCACCGCCAACCCCTTTAATGCTGTCATAAAAGTGTCACTTTGTATCTTATGCTCAGGAAGGCATGGCTTGCCATAGTCTGCAGATTTAACATTGATGTATCAACAGAGGTCTTGCGTATGGCTTGTTCTGAAGTATTATAAATACTGAATGATTGCATGAATTATTGAACAACTGGCACATGTACTGTTTTTCATAAATACTTTCAAGTTAAAAACAAAAACAAAAAAACAAAGTTTGTCTTGTCTTGTGTCAACCATTTATGTGGATAACTCCACTTGTGAGCGTGTCTGGTTCAAGGCAATAACACCTATAAAACCCGGTATTTTCTCTAATGAATACATTTCTCTCTGGTAAGAGCCAAAATCGTCTTTGCACTCACGCCCTTTATTTCCCATCTTTGAGACAGGTGCACTTGGCATGTCTGTGTAATGACACCAAACCAGAGCTTCAATTGGCCATTAGTTTCCATAAGGAAAGACTTCAGCCCAGGTGGGTCACATAATTAAAGGAGAACAAGTCAGATCTGCTTGTCACTGAGGCGAGAGAGTGTGTGTGAGACAGAGAGAGATGTGGGCCTTTCTCTGTGAATAAAACAGGACAATCCTTTAGACAAGAAATGCCTGTCGGTCTCATTTATCCAGCAGTTTTCACATAGCTATTAAAAATTACAGGCTCGGGACAGGCGCTATTTTAAAGCTTCCCACCCACAACAACAAAGACTGGTTGCTGCTGCCTGTTATTCTTTGGGGAATTAGAGGTTTTACATCATCAGCTTTATTGTGATGTCCATAAGGATTTGCTGCACAATTTATAACTATGAAATTAAACGAAGGGGCTTCAACTTTATAATCTCTCTCCTATAGAATTGCAGCCAAAACTAATGCTTGTTTACTTGTTTACATTTATTATTGTCCATACAACTATTTATTTAGGAAGAACTAGTTCTGTGTTGTCTGGGTAGGTGGTCATTATTGATCCTCATCAGTAACTGCGGAGTTGTAGACTGACTGGAGAGCTCACCTGGAAACAACAAGCAGACTTTACACCACCCTGATGCTCATGTGCACTGGACTGAAGACAAGTGGGAGCTTCGGAGTATCCATTGCCTCATCGATTCTTTGTATCTTTATCCCACTTAATGACTTTTCTGCTCTATAATTCAACTCATGGAGCTGATCTCGGGGCCTAGCAGGGATACGGAGAGGTAACTTGTGGCTGGAGCTGTTTTAGAGAGACAACATGCCGGAGGAAGAATGCAAAGGATTTAATGAGGGGATTCTTGAAGACAAGCAAGGATTTGAGAATTCTCTAGTGCCAAAACACCCAACACAATTATCATAAGCTCTCTCTCACAGCGAAATGAAGCTATTTTGAGGTTCCTACATTCCACACAAGAGAATGATAAAGTCATTTAGATTATACAGTGCAAACAGTTTGTCTGCAACGCGGTCACATGAAACAATGTTTACTCTTCTCTAGGTATTACAGCTATGGATTCATATGAACCCCAAGCCAATAAAAAGCCTAAATTCTCATAAGGATGCACCTCCTTATAGGGTGTGTTATCCCTCAAGCTGAGTGAAGAGAGCAGTGGTGGTCTTCACTAAGACTCATCTGTCAATCACAGCGTTGCTTCATCAGTAGGAGCACACTGACAGCCAGAGAGCCTTTCTCCATCACTGAGCACTGAAGACCCACTGATCCACAGTCTAGACCCCCATCCATCCTCCACAGTCACTCCATGTCTACACATTTAAAGAGATTAAAAGAAACAATAAAATGCCACAATGTTTCTACAGGATGTACGCATCTTATCGAATGCGCTGCTCAGTTTCTTAAGCAATTACTTTTTAAGCAACAGTGACTCCATCGTGTTTTACTTAGATCTACATGTCGGGACATCTCCCCTGAGTTCCAGTTTCTGTGCAGTCACCCGAGCATCAAACAGCTCATCTACATGTACTTTTTTCTTGGCCAATGTCTGCTCCATGTTGACACAAACTCATAATTTATCTATTTCTGGCTTGTAGGCTTGTCTCGCCGAGAGTTGTCACACTGGTTGTGCTGCTGTCAAAATGATGCAAGAATAAATTGAAGACTGAATGCAATTTCAGCTGCTTAACTGGTTTCAATCAAATTTTCCTTTTCACTGCCTTTAAAAAAAGATATTTATGGAGAAAACCGATGAGTGCTCTACTGAGTATTCTCAGTATTCTCTCAGTGGGAAAACTTCTGTGGCAGAGATAGTGTCATTATGACATGTGCCATTTAGTGGTGTGTGTAAAGGTATACAGTTAAAAGCTCACTGGCAGAATACAAAATTTGATGTGCTCGCACAAATATTAAAATGATTAGCATGCAGCCTGTCAAATGGAAGAATGCATTAAAGATGACTTGCTTGTCACATTCAGAATCAATTTGAGCAGCATACTGTTCCGGAGAGGTTTGTCTGTGATGTTTCCTGCCCCAGTCGGGAATTTTAAATTTAAATACTGCTTAATGTTGAAGAAATACAAAGAGGCAAAAGACTGCTGACAGCCCACAGTAACATTGTTTGCCATTATCAAGCATCAGTGTCTTTCTGACTGAACCAGTGTCACGTCTCGTCTCATTCTCATCATGTGTGTCTTGATGTAAAACTACCAGAAAGGTTTACTCTGTCACAGCTGGGCCACATCTGAATTTACCTTGGAATTTTCTTTCAAAGCGGTCCCCAAATCTGACGACTGCCCAGCATGTCTTCATGCTCGAGTTCACGTCCACACTTCCCAAACCTTTCCTATATCGGTTGTTTCTTTTTCTTTATTAAGCACTAACATTTTTAGCAGATGCTTTAATGTGATTGGTTACATTATAGCTCACCCTTTACTGCTATATTTCAGATAAACACACTATTAAAGGGAATCAGAGCTTTCTTGGTAGTAATGTTAAAAATGTCCGTTCTAAGGACAATCAATATCCAGGCACAAGTATAACTTTCAAAATGTGGGTTGTATTATACCCCAAAAAGATTAATAATAATATCAACATACATAACCATAAAAATAGTTATTTATTTCTGTACTTGTTTAAGAAATAAGCCGGTAAACTAAACAAACCTACTCAAAAATAAGGCTCTCCTAAACAAATATTTTGTATTCTAGTGGAGAAAACATTTCAAAGGCAAAGTGGGGACAATGGCTATATCAAAGAAAAACAACAACAGAAACATAATTCTCCCCTATGCTGTTGCAGCAGATGGTTTAGTCCATTTGGGTGACCTCTGTTTAAACCAACTCCACCGTAGATTCAGCCTCCTCTGAAGGACTGGAACAAACCGCAAGTAACTCAGGAAAACAGTGGGAAATAAATAATGCAGCTTCTATAAATCAATGACAAAGCCTGCTAACAATCATCAAGGTCCTGACTAATCTAGGGACGGGGTTTGGTTAACAGCCAATTCCTCACACTTTTTAAAGAATTTTCTCACATGTTCCAAAACCCGAAAGCTGCTTTAAAATCCATGACAGAATATGCACACTAACAATGTATTCAAACAAACTACGGCTGATCTACTTTATAAAGGATGTAAAGATGCAGAAGAAACCTTTATGTTGAGTTCATTACATCATCCACATTTTGTAGTTTTCTTCTTTATTTAATCTCATTTGTTCTTCACTCACCGTCATATCTGGCATATAAAGCATTACACAGCCTATCCTATTACTGTGTTAATAGTAATCTATAAAGAGCATTAAGTCCCACATGAAGCTATCACTGCAAATGTATTTCTGTTGTTACTAAATGAAATGATAGGACAGGTATGCTTTATTATTCCAAATTGAACTCATCTATTCTTGATGCTTTGTGAATGCCTTCTAATAAATCACACTCAATAAAAGCT